CCACAACGCCCGGCTATTTTTTTGGTTGCAGCCATCATTGTTGTTTGGCGGGTCCGGGCTGGGGATTCGAACTGGCCACCTTAGCTGTACGTGGCTGGCGCCTTAGCCGGTTCAGCTACAGGTGCCGAGCCGAGAATAAATTTCTTAAAATAAATAAATTTGTTTTAAGTCACACCCTCCCTAAAAATACAAATTTTGGGGAAAAGAATCTCCAAAACTCATATAGAGAAAACCTATTAAAAAGGACCAAGGGTGCCTTGAGTTGTTCCTTCTGTGCAGCAAAGTATGAGTATGGTCCTTTCCAGAGTATGAATAAAGCCCAAACCAATCTAGGTACCATGTAAAGTATGCTTAGTAATCATAACACTTAAAATACTTGGTGCCAGTCACTGTTCAAAGTGCTTTATCTACATTAATTTATTTGATCCTTACAATCTGTGAGTTATTACCTTTATTATCTTTCCCTACTTCTTATCCTCCTCATTTTACATATAAGGAAACTGAGGCACAGGACAGCAAAGGCATCTACCTAAGTAAGGGGTGGAGCTGGAATTGAAAACTAAGGGATCAGGCCAAAGGCTTCTTGCTTTTAGATTGTTGTACCATTTTTTCATGCAGTAATAATATCTGTTTTAGATGATACCTTATCTTTTCCTGAGTCCGGCAGACTGGTTACTATTTCCCCATTTTACAGATGAGTAAATTGACGCCAAGAGAAGAAGTGACTTGCTCAAGATCACACAGCAAGTTTCCTGGTCTAATGAATAATGGCTGAGTGTCCAGGCCAGATCTCCTGCAGTAATCATACTAGCCAATGTTTACTGAGCATTTACCAAGTACTAGCTGGAGGCATTAGGTGCTTTTTTTTAGAGACAGAGTCTTGCTTTGATGCCCTCCGTAGAGTATTGTGGTATCACAGCTCACAGCAACCTTCAGCTCTTGGGCTTAGCCTCCCAAATAGCTGGGACCACGGGTGCCCACGACCATGCCCGGCCAGCTGTTTTTTTGTTGCAGTTTGGCTGGGGCCAGGTTTGAACCCGCCACCCTCAGTATATGGGGCCGGTGCCCTACTCACTGAGCCACAGGCGTCACCTAGGTGCTTTCTATGCTTTTTTTTTTTTTTTTTTGCTGTTTTGAGAGAAAGGTCTTGTTCTATTGCCCAGGTTGGAGAGCGGTGGCATCCTCATAACTGTCTGCAAACTCAAATTCCCAGGCTCAGTCAATCCTTCTGCCTCAGCCTCTCGAGTAGCTTGAACTACAGTGTTGTGGCCCTGCACCTGGCTAATTTTTAAATTTTATTTATTTATTTATTTTGTAGAGACAGTGTCTCCCTAGGTTGCTTAGCGTGGTCTTGAATCTTGTCCCCATACCATTCTCCCTCCTCAGCCTCCCAAAGGGCTAGGATTACAGATGTAGACTACTGTGCCCAGACTGCATTTTTTTTTTTTGGTAGGTAGAGACAGTCTGACTTTATCGCTCTTGGTAGAGTGCAGTGGCATTACAGCTTACAGCAACCTCCAACTCTTGGGCTTAGGTGATTCTCTTGCCTCAGCCTCCCGAGTAGCTGGGACTACAGGCGCCTGCCACAACGCCCGGCTATTTTTTTGTTGCAGTTTGGCCGCGGCTGGGTTTGAACCTGCCACCCTCAGTATATGGGGCCGGTGCCCTACCCACTGAGCCACAGGCACTGCCCCAGACTGCATTTTTAAACTATAATCAAAACAACCAGGTGGTGCCAGTAGCTTAGTGAGTAGGGTGCCAGCCACATACACCGAAGCTGATGGGTTCAAGCCCAGCCTTGGACTGCTAAACAACAATGACAGCTGCAACCAAAAAATAGCCAGGTGTTATGGCGGACACTTGTAATCCCAGCTACCTGGGAGGCTGAGGCAAGAGAATTGCTTAAGCCCAAGAGTTTAAGGTTGTTGTGAGCTATGATACCATGGCACTCTACCAAAGGCGACATAGTGAGACTCTGTCTCAAAACAAACAAACAAACAAAAAACAACCAGAGATACTAGATACTCTCAATGTTTCCATGTTACAGAGGAAACAGGCTCAAGAGCAGTGAAATGACTTGTCCAAGGTCATGTTCTTGATGGTCAACAGAGTTGGAGTTCAAATCCTGATTTCCTGACTGCCAATTCAATGTTCCTTCTATTGTACTAGATGCCCCAAGAGGGCAGCTGAGCTGAGAGGAGGCAGTGGGGGGATGGTGCTCTGAGGTCATCTCTGCCTTCTGTCTCCAGGCTCTCTGTGGGTTTAAGTAAACCTGTTTTTAAAAACCTATTTATAGCTTAAAACTGTACCACCACTTGGGATAATGGGTCCCCTAAATTGACTCCCTGTGGTGTAAATTAAGACTTCCTTTTATCTGTCCTGAATCTTTCAGGATTGTAGGGAAGAGGGGTAATGGGGAGATGTCCATAGGACCAAAGTACTTGGATTCAGGAAATAGCTGAAGTCCAAATAGTGTCTGCCTATTTGGTTATGATGGCAATTTCTGACACCAGGCAGCAGGAGACAGGTATGCAAACATCTTATCTGATCATTCCAAAGACATAAGGGTTTGGCAGGGCTTGGATTTCTGTCTCCTTTAATCTGTCTTGTTTCCTATGGTATCATTGACCAGTTTTGCAGGCACAGGTAGATACTAGATAGCTATTTGTTGTATGAATGAATGAATGACCTCTCATTTTATAGACAAAAAAACTAATGCATAGCATATAAGGGGTTTAACTAGGAAAACAAGACCTATGACAGATGATTCAGAAGATAGAATTTAATATGGAGAATTAGCTACAGAACTGTTTGGTGGGCAGAAATAACAACCATAGGAAGTTGGGGCAAACCTGAGATTATAAATTTCAGGAAGCCACTACTCCCCCAGGAATGGACATATAAAGGGAGGAGATGGTATTACTAGAGGCCAGGAACCAGGGCCACCTGGGGAGAAGCTGGGAGAGACTAGATGGAGCTAAAACCACAGAGGAGTCACTGCAACTGCTGAAGCACCCCCCCACCCCCCACTTCACCTTTCTCAAGGTGGAGAGAGATGGGGGAAGATACTCTGGCTTTACCCTTCCTCTTACTCTCTAATCTCTC